TGAAATGATGCAATGTTGCGCTGTTATTCCCTCACTATGCACTCGACTCAGCGGGGTCCTTTGAACTTGCCCGCTGGTCTCCAGGTACAGAGACAGTCATTTGACACCTGAAGGTGAGTCGAGGGCCGAGGGCCGTTTGAGAGCCTGTAGGACAGCGTAGGCTTAGCTCATGAGGCAGCTTTTGCATTAGAAAAGAACCCTGGGGGACTGCTGTAATTACTGTGTTTGTATTTTAGTTTCATCACATGATTTATTCATTTTTATTTAGATGAAGCATCTGTGGGAAATAAGTTTATTTGCTTTTTCTGATGGTTAAATGAGAAGACGGTGACCACCCTCCTTTCTGTTTATGGACTTAGTGCCTCTTTTTTTTATATACAGCATTAGTGTTGTGCAGAATGTACAAGTATTCATTTGTACGAGGAATGTTTTAATCTGCAACCTGAGCAAGAGAGAGCATTAAGCTACCCATACACATTAATTTACCACATTTGGATGATCATCAAGAAATTGCTGGCTACTATTATTTCATGAACCAAAGCATTCAGGTTAAAAACTTGTGGAAAATAAGGAGAGTAGGAAGAAGGAGGAATGAAGAAAGAGGATGAAAGTTGGCTGATTAATTTATCTCTGTGCCATCCCTACAAAATTCATCAAGCTCCCAACAAAAGCACCAATTATGATATTTGAACCTCTATTAAAACATGCACAAATCGGCCATATTTTTCATCTGATTTGTTAGACGTAGTTTTGTTTGACTTTTGGGTAAATCTTCAGATAGATTGCTGCATTCCCAGCTAATTTTTTTCTTCTCTGTTCTTTAGATATCAGAGCAATACCGATTTGACAGAAAAGCAACAATAAGCATATTTCCCAAGTTGTTACTTCAGATCATTTAATTTAGTTTATTTCGTCACATTTTTTGTTTCTGTGGTTTCCTTTTGTTTTCATATCATTGATTGTTGACACTTGCAACCTACTTTAACCCACTCTACTTTTTCAGATGGCTATGCCTTCTCTCAAGATGAGAACGGAGTGGTGTCTCAGTCTGAGGTCATCAGAGCCTACGACACCACCAAACAAAGGACCAACGAGTGGTGAGCTGCCGGTCCTCTTGTTCCAGGCCGGCCAGTTTGGAGCCACAGCTGCCATTTCCAAAGGCGACATTTGAAGCTGATCGTGGAGAACTGATGGTGCTAGTGCGTACCTTCAGCACTGAGGGGAGTTTTGGACATGACCCGGACTGAGGACAGAGGGACTATATCATCTTTTTAAAACACGTGGACAAGGAAGAAAAGAAAAGGCGTTCATTATCGGCTGTAGTTGTGAGTCCATCAGGCACGATAAGCACTGTGCGTTCTTAAGAGTCTGTGGTCTGAAGTTCTTCACTGTTCACTCGCTCAGTTCGTCATAGCGATCGTCTCCTTTCTATTGATTTAAGGAATGACAGCTTTTAAGCTGAGCCACACACCCTAAAATCCGCTTAACTAAACCACTTCTAAACACTGTTAGCTCAGAAGTTAAGACACTGGACAATGACTGGTCTGGAAATGCTGACCCTGTGAAAGATTGCCAAAGAGCAGTCGTGTATACAATCGTCCAAGTACTCGTGAATTGGGAAAACTTCTAACCAAATGCAATTAAATGATTTCCAGCACTGAACAGACCACTCCAGAGCAAATGTTTGTAATATTTTCAATTTCTTTTTTGCACTTACGGAAGCGTCTCTTGTGAAAAGCCTTACATTTGCTCATGCCTTCGTCCGTCTTTGTCCGCTTAAAAGGAAATACTGCTTTTAATTTATTTTAGCGTTTTATTAAGGATTTAGATACTGTGCCTGTTTTTTTTTTTTTTTTTGCACCTTTTCATTTAATGCTTGAGAAGTTGCCTCTCGCACCACACAGTAGTCCTGTTTGCAACCTTCTTTTTGTTTTCTTTTGCAGCAGAAGTATTGCTATCGATGTAGAATTGCATTCCACACCTCACTCCAGTTTCAACGATCACATCGGTGCCTAAGTGAAACCTTTTCCCTCTTAGAAGAAAAAGCTAGCCAAGAATAGTTTAGCGCTACACACCGACACACCTAGAGAAGAAAAAAATTGCACTCCCACAGTGTTAAAATTTCAGATTTGCTCCCCAAGAGGCGAAGTCCAGGCTCTCCGATGGTCTTTTTGAAACTAGCAGCATTGGTAGTGTTTCCCTTAAAAATGTTATCCTCTAACATAAGTGCCATTAGCTTAAGGGAAAGAGAAATGTTAGCCAGGAAACTCCAAGACGGTATCAAGACTACTTTGTCTCTATAGTTATTTTGTGGATTTGTATTTTTATATTGGAGATGTCTGACTTTTGCATCGACTGGCTTTGTAATGAACCGTCTGTGACTTTTAGTTTGTTTCTTCCTCTGATAATCTGGCAGGATAGAGTAGGTCTGACGAGGAAAAGGGAGCTTTCTTATATGTCTTGTTATTATTAATATTAATATGGGTACAGCTTAATTTATTTATTATCGACTACTTACTGTCTGTGTGATTGCTTTCTTCTCCCTATGGGAGATAAAAATTTCTGATTGTGGGTGTCAGTTCATAGCCTGCATGTGCACGTTCCGTGTGTATGTGTGTGTGAATGTGTGTATGTGTCACTTCTACTGTGGCTGTCTCTGTTTGCAATGCATGTCCGTGTCCTGTTTCAGAAGCTGGGAGTTAATGGCGTTTCTTTCACTGTGTGTATGTATGAATGTGTGTATGTGTGTATGTGTGTGTGTGTGTGTGTGTGTGTGTAGTGACGCTTGCTCCAGCTGTTCGTCTGCACGACTCCAGGTAAAGCTACGGTGTGCCGATGTGTGCTGATGCATGGCCCACACGGGAGTGTGAGGCGGTCATTGTGCAGCGTAACAGTGTGTGTGTGTGTGTGTGTGTATGTGTGTGTGTTCCACGTTCAGACTCCCGGCCTGACCTGTGTGTGAGTTTCCTCAGCTCGCTTTGATGGGAGAGATGTTGCACAGTGCACTCTATGTACCTTTCCAGCTGTGGACATCTGGTAATATCTAGTTTCAGGATATGATTTTTAAAGAATGTACATGTCTGTAACTTGTTTTTCTTCACACACTGTAACTCTGCTCTATAGGACCCTCTTCTGTGCTTCTGAGTTTCTGATTCTTTTTATTTATTTATTTTCCGGCTTGTCTTTTGCGTAAAAAAAAAAGGTAAATTGGTTGTCATCTTTGTCATAAAAAATTTCCCAACAGCTGAATGTGGATGTTTTCGTCGTGGAAAGGCTTGGACTGTTGCTTTCTTATTCCAGAAATCACAAAATGTTGTTGTCTGTGAAGGTCGTGGGCTGCATGAATGGCAAACAAAATCTGTTTTTTGAAGTGTTAACCGTACTACTTTGATTCTCCCTCGAGTGTTGACCACTTCCTGTAAGAGTTTTTTTTTAAAATGCACCTTTAGCTTTTTTCTTTTCAATATCTGTTTCTTTTCTGTCATTTCTTCAATGATTGTTCTGCATGTTGGGACTGCAAACTTCTAAGTGTTGTCTTTTACTGCCATGAAGGACTACTGAAATAAACTTTACAGTCATGGAGGAACAATGTGATCATCTCTGCTAATCCCTGTGTGTGTGTGTGTGTGTGTGTGTGTGCGTGTGTGGATTTTCGGTCTCCGCGTCCGCCTGTTAGTGGCGACAAACGGGACACAAAGTCTAAACAGGAAAAGGCAAGGGAAGCCATCAGTCTGAACCTCAGAATCAAAACAACTTCTTGATATTGAAGTCATTTGTTTTTCCTTCTTGTATGATCCCACACAGGCTGTAATCTGTTCCATTAATAGATGAGCATCCAGACCAATTAACCTGTCCCACCCCAGAGGCCCCTGCACTAGCTGTGGCTGTTTGCTGTGAAAACACACCCGCCACCATATTTTGAAGGGTCCCAGCCCGGCGCATTCACAGAGGAGGCTGCTTGGTACGGCCAGAACTCTTTTTAAATGCAGCCCCTGTTTAGGGACTGAGCATCTGAAGGGCTAGTTCAGAAACGTCAATGCTGCCGAATTATTGTTGCGGGGCTCTCTGTGCGTGTTTTTCACAGATCGAGTCAAGCTTTGGGACATTATTTTAACTGAAGATGTTTCGAAGTGGTTCTGTCTTATTTTGCATTTTTATTTCCTATCCTGGTGACCGAATGATACTGCAATTCATGATGTGGCCAATGGAAAAACCTCCCACTATACCGATAAGTGATGCTCAGGATCCACTCTTCGCAAAATTTCTAATATTTTTCCAAATTTTTTTAGGTCCAAATACTGAATCAAGAGAGATTTGGCGGGGTGGGCAGTTGCTGAAATGATTGTTGGATGCAGGCGTACTTACAACTTCAGAAACCGCTTTCAGAGTGGTGGTTCTGAAGATATCATGCTGGGATGACGGCCATTGATTTATTACTACAACAAACACTTGTTGAACGACTTGTTTTTTTGGAGACGCAGCAAAAAGAGCACATAGTGTATCTGATTACAGTACAGCCAAACAAGCCCACGTTGTTTTAATAAAGAGGTCACTTGGAAATAATTGCTGTTTACTGTGCCTGCTCGTTCTCCTCCCATGACTCCCAGCCATACTTAAGGCTGACCCACAACAAAGACATATCAAAAAAAGCGGCTGTTTTTTTTCCTTCCGTAGACATAATTTGGATGGATGATTGTGGTCGTCGTTAAACCGTGCGGGCAAATGCATCGTTTCCCAGGACAATTCAGAGAGGTACTGCTGGAGGAGAGCGAAAACATGCCAACAACAACTGGGTTTGATTACATAAAAATCCTGAAGAATTCTAATTGTAATGTGTTCCTGATCTCATTATTGCAGTAAACAGAAGGCTGATGGTTTTCTTAGAAGAATTGAGTTTTCAAGGAAGGCAAATACAACAAAAAAATAAAAGACCGAAGCTCTTTATGAAGCTCACGCGACAACTTTTAAGTGAAAACACCGTGAGGATCAACACGGATGCTGAGAGACGGCTTGGAAAAGGAAGTGGAGGATATTTCTCAGCTTGGCTGATGCAGAAACAGAATTGGCTCTTTAAAAATAGCGAAAATTGCGTCGTGAAAATGACCTCACCGGTTGTACTTTGAGTCGAGGATGAAGGCCTGGAATGCGGCGCTGCGGTTAAAACTGACAGCTGCAAGTAGAAACGGGACCCGTGGACTCATAATCCTCCGGATCCGCGTCTGCCTCCCTGGACCTCCTGCGTGAGGCGAATCACATCCCAAAGATGGGGGGGGGGGGGCGGCCGGCGGGGTTTCCAGGGAGACGCTGATTGCCCGCTCCATTTCACAGTCAGGTGAGCGGGGAGAAGGGCGGCCTTTGTGGGGGGCGCCGCCGTACCTGCCGCTGCAATCCAAACCCTCCACTTCTGGGCCGGGCTGTTTTTGACACCGCCGCCGCGGCAACGCTGGTTGAACACCGACAATGACGGATCTCAGCCCCGCATTCCTGCTGTGAAGTCTGGCGCGAGACAGAGCAACAGGTAGCGAGCGGCCCCGGCTGCTCCGGTTTCTTCTGTGTCTGAGCGATGATGGAGCTTCTTTGTGGAGATCCTTTTTTTTCTTTTTTGGATTAAATATCACTTGACAAACTCCACATATACCAGAGGTTACAAAACACCACTTTTATTTACCGTAATTATCTGTTTCAATCGACATCACAAATCTGAAAGGTTCCTGTACAACCTTTTACAGAAGACCACATTTCTTGGAGAAGAATCCGTCCTTCCGTCTTTCAGAGGTGGTCCCTGGTTTCCACTGTCTCATAAACCTCTGAATCAGCAGTCAGGACAGTCCTGCCCTCTTTTACGGAAGCTGGCAGGAGATGTGGAAACTTTGTGTTTTTTGTGAGTGAGGGAGGAGGGTGGGAAATATACACGTTCATCTATTTACAATGAAAAAGTGCGTAAAATTCAGAATGAAACCGACAGTTTTCTTCTGTCTGTGTCCTGTGGAGACGCTGGATCCAGGCCGTTTTGCCTTCTCTGCCTCCCGCTGCTCTCTGCCTCTCACTCGGCCGGCCTCAGACGTCCAAACGCCGTGTGTTTGTTCTCGACAGCCTGCATCCAACCCTTAAATTCTTGTAATCCCTCCATTTCCCCCCCCCCCACCAACACCACTGGGATCCCTGTCAGCTCTGCCCGAAGTCTGCGAAGCCCTTGGCCGCTGCCGCGAAGGCGTCGGGCTGCAGGGGGAAGAAGTACTGCTGGGGCAGGAGGAAGGCGGCGCCCTGCGGGGGGTGGGGGGGCTGGTGGAGCTGCAGCTGGCCGTGAGCGGCGGGCAGCGGGTGCTGGACGGGCGGGGGGGAGGTGTAGGGCGGGGGGGGCGGCGGCGGGGGCAGGGTCTGGGCGGGCGTGGAGGAGACGGCGGCGGACACCAGGCAGCCGTGCTGACCACCCTGACCGCCCCCCGGACCCCCGAGGGAAAACCTCCTGGTGGAGCCGCACCCCCCGGCCGAGCTGGAGCTGGTGGTGGCCGTGCTGGACTGCCGCGACGGGGCGCGCAGGCTGGGGGGGCCGGCGGCGGCGGCGGTGAGGATCATGGGGATGGTCTCGCCCTGGCAGCTGCGCAGGGAGAAGCGGATTGGCTGCTGGGTGGGCTGCTTGGGCCGCAGACACGTGCAGCAGTACACGGCCACCAGCGAGCCCACGACCACGAAGGCCACGAAGATGCTCCCCACCATCAGGAACGGCACGTAAACCGGCTCTAAGGCAGAGAGAGAGAACAAAAACGGGTAAGAATAAACCCACCGGGCACCGGGTTTCAGCTCACACGTGCAAAGAAACCCCAAATAAAGTCATTCTTGTCATCCAGACGTCCAGATCATGTTTGACCACAGGAGGAATCATAAATACTGGCAACAAATGATGTATTACCCTGTAATCTGATAGCACTGCTATTTGTTGTCACGTTTCTAAGCGATATCAGTCATATTATTTCGTCTAAATCCTTCAAAGTATTTTGAACAACCTTCCCGCTGAACACACAAACAGCTCAAATGACCTCACAAAGCCTCTTTGCATTCAGGGAGGAAACCTATAAATGTTTATTTATTTTAACAGGGACAAATAGGAAATTGTGAGCGCACAGTCCAATCAGTTAAGGGCTTATAGGCTTTCCCACTCGGGAAATTTAAAGATAGCTGATAAAACCTTCACGGGTTAAAGCAGCCTGTTATTAAAGTCCTCACAACCAGCCGTGAGTTAATATGACACCTCGGCCCAGTCCGGGAAAAAGCCACAGGAATAAGCTGCTGTGTTAGAATATTGCGTTAGATTCCCCTTAGTTTGAAAATGAGGGGCCTGTCAAAGCGAATGTGCTTTAAACTAATTTTGGCAGCAGAAAAGGCCGTTTTATTGGAGGAGGTTTTGACTCTGGAAAGAATTCCTGCAACCAAGCTCAGATTGATCAAGTTTCATACTAATTTGTTACTAAAAACTTTCACGAGAATCGCTTTGGAGAACACAGAAATGCTGCATTGTTAAAAGCCCGTCCAGTTTTCCTCTTACCACTGATAAGAATCTGGAGTGTGCTGAGGTAAAACGAAGCCTCTGGAGCACAGATAAAAGCAGGTGGGGGAAACCTGACTCTTTGCCTGATTGAATGAGGATAAAACTACAAAAAAACAAAAAAACTGTTTGAACCCAACGGTCTTAGATACAATTTTCTAAATCTTAAAGCTGAAGTTCTGAAATACACCGTGTTCATGAACCCTGGGCAAGAAACTGAACCTGCACTACTTTTTCATCATTGTTCAGCTGACCTCTGACCTCTCTTTGGAGCTCACTCAGCCTAGTTTAAACATAAACGCACATCTATCTTCCTATTCTAGTTTTTGAGCCTTTTTTTCATCTTATAAACCACATTTTGGGAGAGGTCAAACCCCAAATGGAATCGAGCTGAGCTTACGCGCTGCAAACTCGGTGTTGTCCACCTCCCGGTCGTTGGTGCACGTGCCCTGGTCCAGGCGCGCGTCCGGGGCCGCGCAGCAGTAGCGCAGCGCGCACGAGCCGCAGCACACGGTGGCGTCCGTGGTGTCGAAGTCCTCCGGACACTGGAAGCCCTCGTGGTAATTCCCGTTGGTGTCCAGCCAGCCGTGGCAGTACTCGCCCTGGGCGTCCGATATCCGCAGGTTGCAGGTCAGATATCCCAGCAGCAGGCACTCCAACAGGCGCACCATCCCGCTGCCCCTCGCGTCCCGATGGACACCCCCCAGCCAGCCCCACTGTCCGAGGTGAGATCCAAAACTCCAACAATCTGCGCGCACGCACTTTACGTCTCTGTCATATTACAGGCAACCAAACCCCCCCTTGTTGAGCCAGTAGCTGCTGAAATAAAGGGGATGTTCTCTCTGGTTTATCAAAAAGTCTGCGTCATGTGGTTTTTAAAAAAAAACATCATTCTTGGTTCTGTTCATTATCCAAAAAAAGTCATGGAGACGGATGACCAGCAGAGCGATGGAAGATGGCCAGCTGGACTCAGCCCTCCGTGTCCGTGCAGCACTGTCCGGGTTGATCTGATGCAGTCGGGGAGGAACTTGTGCCCAACTCGAAGCAGAGTTGCGAGTTTTGTGAATCGGGGGGTTTTGGGACGCGCGCACGTAACCCACTCCGAGAGGACGTGCGCGGTCACGTGTTCAAGAAGCGGTGCTGCGATAATTAATCCAGATGCCCAAACCAAGGCATTATGTTTTTATTTTTCTTAACCTCCTAAGAGCCTCTTTAAAGGAAAACTTAAGTAAAATGTATTTAAATACTGCCTTGTTAACTACTTCTCTCTTAAAACGTGGCAGGAAATAACTTTAAGGACAAATAAAGCCAAACTAAACTAACACTATTCTCATTCTGTTTTATGGAATCTGCTCGATCATTTGGTGCTTTGTAATCATGGATGGATTTCGATCTAATGAGCACCCCCCTCCCCCTTCTATCAACAGCCAACAGTGCAGAGGGGTCTTTTTTTTCTTCTTTTGGCGGTTTTGTTCAGCTTTGCTGTGGTTTTGTGACAGTTAGTGCTCTTTTTGCATTTGGTTTTTTTATTGGGGTCCATCTCTCTGTGGGCAGCTCATGTCTTTTGAAGTGATTTTTTTTTTTTCCCTACTTATGTGGTCCCTTTCTTTCATTTCCTCATGATGTTTTTACATCTCCTCAGCACATTTCAGCTCATTTGAACTCCCTTTGTTGTCCCTCTGTGTCTGGTCATTTCCTGCCTGTGGAATTTTGTGTTGTGTTTCTTCGGGATAACTCTGCCTGTGTTTTTGAATTATGCAATATTTTTCATTTATTTTTGTGTGTTTTTTTTCTTTTACAACTCTTTAAATTAACTTTATATCTAGTTGTGGACTTGTTTTGTTTATTATGGTTATTTTACCTTTAATCATATAGTTTTTTCCCCCTTTGTGACATAAGAATTATTTCTAGCTTTGTGTGCCTACACACTGTGGTTATTTGGTATTCTCAGATATCAAAATGTGGTAATGTTGTGTTTCTCTTTGGAGACTCTGTGGCCATTTTGGATGTCTCAGTGTGGTCAGTGTGCTCTTCTTTTTGCTCTCACATCTGACAGAGCTGCATGAACATCATATCTGACCATGGATCAGCCTTTAAATTAAGTTTATAATGAATACATTTACAACTCGTTGACTGCTTAAAGTTATTTTAGGCCACTTTTTAGTTTCTTTGTTGTATTAAAGTTAAATACACAGCTGTTGTGAAAGCATTTGGATGTGCTTTGGGTTTATCCAGCCATTTCTTAAACCTGTTTAAACTATAACTGACAAAACATGTGTTCTTAGCAGCTAGTCTACATTTTAAAACCCCACTCCTTGAAACCTTTTGATGCAGCGACCCCTTGTGGCTATGCAAACTTTTAGGCCTGCAGGCTATTAAAAATGGCAGATAACAAGCTCAACATAAAACTCAGCTTAGTGAAAGTTAAATCAACATCTTTAAATATAACTGGACCATATGGTTCAGAACACGGATCCATGATCATTTTAATTATATGATAAGATGAAGGATTTTTTTTTAATTATAGGCCTATTTTATCAGTCTTGCCAATTATCAATTTGAGAAAATCTCCCGTTTTTAAAAGGTCAGTGAATTATTCTGAGCTTCAAACATTTGAAATTTCTGTGATATGTGTTTTAAAGCTTAGTTTGTTTTTTTATTTTGTTTTTCAATCGATTGGAGGTTGCATGTAGCCTACATATAGATGCACATGCAATGTGTATGTAGATTTCCAGTCAGGATGCTCGTTACAAAGAAGGCTGGCAGTGGCGCACAAGTCCCGCCTGTATTTCCCTCTGGAGTCTCAGTGTCGGCGCACCCGTCAGGGGATTGGAGCGGGGACTTGTCAGTAGATCAGCCCACTCTTCGCACCGTGTGTGTGTGTGTGTGTGTGCGTGTGTGTGTGAGGGAAGCCGAGCCAGACGCTGCTGATCGGACCCCTCACTCATCATCAGCTGTCTATCACACCAGCTCGCCACAAGCTCGGCGCCTGCTCCGGGATGGAGGGAGAGATGTATCCCGCGGACGAAGGGCCCTGCGCCCCGAAGACGTGCCGACAGCAGCGAGGTCCGTACGGCTCCCTGAAAACCTTCCAGGGCAGGCGTTCCGCGGGCAGGTCGCGCTTTGACCGCTCCGCCGTGGTCGACGTGCCTCTGTTCGGCGACGGGCATCCTTTGACTTTTCATCCTGAGCAGCCTCATCCCTTCCAGCAGCAGCACCACCAACAAGAGCAGCAGCAGCGGCTGGCGCAGCTTCACCAAAGCAGCGTCGCTATCAGCAGCAGCCAGCAGCATCACCCCGCGCCTCAGCATCAGCACCAGAACCATCATCAGCATCTTCTCCCGTGTGAGACCAGGCCCAGCAGCAGGGTCCCTACATCCACCTCAGCGGTGGCACCTGCGGGTCCCCGGCAGCCACGCGTCGGAGGCGGGGGAGCAGAGCCCAGATTCTCCCCGGACTGCACCTACGGGATCAGCACAGGTAGGTTCCAAACTTATCCCTAGTGGGTCATGAGAGTGACCCCGAGTCAGGACCCGTCCCCTGGTTTCAGTAATGGGACTTCTTTTTTTTCCTTTTTTTTTAGTACTCCAGATTTGCCACATCTGGCCAACAAGCATGAAACATTTAGTCAAAACGCTCAAGTGAGAGGCAGAAAGAGTCATCCCTTTGTTTTTCCACATAACCTGGTCCTCAGATTTTTCTTTTTTTTTTTTGTCAGGAGTGATTTATGAGCTCATATAATGAGAGTAGTCATGATTAAATCTCACATGCTCAGATTCACACTTTGTGTTTGTGCACCGCCTGTGTGTGTGTGTATGTGTGTGTGCGTGTGCGTGTGCGTGTGTGTGTATGTGTGTGTGTGTGTGAGCAATAAGTTGCCTCCATCATCTCATGTCGAAGCGCATTGTTCTCTGCTGATGTTTCTCCCCAGCTGCTGTTCATTAGGGGGTCTGCACAGGAGGAAATGTGGTCCCCGTGTGAAGGGCGGGTCCATGGGAGCAAACATTTGGATGAAAGCAACGAGCCTTATCCTGACACTTACAAAATTAAATATTAGGCATAGCATCCTTTAATCAGATATTAATCTCTTTATCACCGCGGGCATCAGAGGCGCGGCGGGCTGTTGGTTCTTTGTTGCTTCACGATAAAGTGGTTAGAGCTCGTCTTTTACACGAGCCCCACAACAACTAACCCATGCTACACATACTGCTTTGTGCATATAGTCATACATATTTGTTTTAAAAAAAAAAACACGTCTTGGGATCTTATGGAAAGCAGCCTGTGCTGAACCAGTTCTGGTGACCCCATTGTTTGCTCCTGTTCCGATGTGCACATGATGTTGTTGTCAAGTATGAAATATACCCACAAAGCCTTATTGTTCATACTCTATTAGATCCCCTCATGGCACGTTTGATGCACCATACAATCCTGGTTAAACATGTCATGCTTTCTTAGTGATAATGACACATCAAAGTGCTTTTATCTGCACAATAGACACTACTTACTGCCTCTCTTGTGGCTGGAGATGGACAAAAAAAAAGAAAGAAAGTTGATGTCCCTTCTTATGAGGCGCAGCACCAGAGACCCTGGAACACAGCAATCAGTTCAGCACACAAAAGCACAAATTGCATTGAAAAGCCTTTCCCAAAGAGTTGTGATTAAAATAAATGGGCCTCATAAATTTGTCTCTGCCGACCGTGTTGTTTTTAATGAAATTTTATGAGGCTCTCAGCTCACAGTGCCACAGAGCTGGAGAGGGAGGGAGGGAGGGAGGGGATGGGAGCTGGGGGTGCAGGGTGAGGACGAATAATATCAGATACATCTCAACGGGTAAACAGAGACAGCACGCATATTAATAAATGCGACACATCTGCGCCAGGCTGATAGACACGTCTGAGCGAGTGGCAACGCGGCAATGGCTGCCTGGAACTCATTTTGTCTGTGTGTGTGTATATTTGTGCATTTGTGTGCAGCCAGTGGACTCGTAATCATTACGAGGAGATGGGTGAGACCATTTCATTGAGACGTGCCTGGATTAAGGGGGAAAATGCACACCGAGGCTTGTTTCTGGACAATAGCCATGTGTTGATTGTCTTGGTCACAGCAGATACTCTGACCTTAGAGTTTATTGACATCTGAATAAATCAACATAATCAAGCTGACATTTCTATAAACAGAGCAGCTCACTGAATGCTACCAGCACTTTGCCACAGTAAGACAGAGCAAACACAACTGAAAGGAGGCCATGAAAGCCAGCAGGTATGTTTGACACGAGCAGTTGAATTCCATGTGTGAACCTTGTATTTGCCAGCTGGAAATATTGGTGACTTCACCAGTTAAGATTCATATGGACTTGTATGCAAAGCGGATCAAATAAGTTTTATGAAAACGATTCAGACTTTATTAGGGGGGCCACTGCCAGTGGCAAGGCCCACCTATTACTATCCAAAACCCCAGTGGGCCTTATTAGGGGGCCCACTGCCAGCGGCAAGGCTGCACCTATTACTCTTCGCCATATTTATTCCGTGAGAAGGCCCACTGGCAGATCTATCTATCTATCTATCTATCTATCTATCTATCTATCTATCTATCTATC